TTATCTCAGCCTGCCTCGTCTTTTTATTGCACTGAAGCTGCTGGATATGCCGTGCGCCGGCCGCGAAGGCCGTCAGCCGAGCCCTGTTGGCCTCGAAGTCCTTCTCAAGCTCGGAAGCAGCAGCAGACCTTTGCCGTTGAAGGTCAGAAATTTGACGTTGGAGGTCAGAGATCTGGCGATCAAACTCGGTCAGCTTCGCTTTCCTGGCTTTGATTGCCTCCATCTTAGCTCGGCCGGCCTCTTGCGCGACCTTGGCAACCTTCAGGTCATCCTCCGCTTGTAGGGCTCACTCAAAGATGTGGAAGTGTTGCCAAGTCCGCTCCAAGAGGTCGGTGAGGAAGGAGATATTCTCCGTGCTTAGGTAACCGCCGCTGGCAAGGTCATTAAGACACTCCCCAACGGAGTCAAGACCCTTGGATCGGAGAGCTTGGGAGGCAGTGAGAGACAGGACTTCATGCAGCTTCACGAAGGCTTCGGCCTCAGGCATGGCTCCCGCTGGTTCGGCAAGAGTAGCAGAGGAACCGGCCTCACCAGTCGTGCTCTGAAGAAGAGCGTCGAGCTTCACTTCCCACAATGGCTGCACATGAAAGGAAAACTTTGTGAAGGAAAGTAAGACGTCGTGATATAGTGCATGACAAAAACGGATTGTTTTAGACCTGCCGAGAATAGACTTCGGCCATGCCCTCTGGGTCATTGCTCGAACCCAGGGAACTTAATGCCCGAGCCCAGTGCCTTAGACCGCTTCACAATTCACGCGGCCGATGGAGGTCATCTACATTTGATGGCCACGACGGTGGCCAGGAAATATAGACAACGCCCGTCGGCGCATAAAATTGTCGGTGAAATGAACGTTCGGGCACCTGACATTTAATAGTCTTTTAAGAACATGCGTCATGAGAAAATCAACGCAAAAGAAACAAGACTTACAAAGGCCGAGGAGACTTCCTCAAGAGGAATGGGAAGGTCTTCATCCTGCGGGTGGATCGGCGTTTCGGCCGTGGCCTCAGGATCGGCCATAGGTCTCTTGCCGCGATCCGCCGCAGAAGGACACGGTCGAGCGGTCGCCTCGACGACCAGAGGAAGATGGACGGGACGAGAGTTGACTGGTTGACGACGGTGTTCCAGCGGGACTTCGTCGCTCTCGCTCTCGACATCCTGAACAAAAAGAAAAACATTTTGCGTTACGACTAGAAACCTAAAGAAACAAGAGTGGAAGTAGAATTATACCTCTTCCAGAATGACCGTTGGAGTAGAGGGTGCCTCGACAGGTGCAGCCGACTTCCCCACGGTAGGCGCCACGACCAGCTCCGGAGCTGGAGCTGATGCGACGATTGGATCGGCCGTGGTCTCAGGAAGGGAGACGGCTGGAGGAATCGGGTTTGGAGAAGTCGGGGCAGCCGGTACAAAAGGAGAGCCGGCAGGAGCAGGTGTCCCTGTAGTGTCACTGGGGACGACATGAATCTCCCGGTTGCCCTTCTTCGCCAATTTCTTAACGCGTTTAGAAGGGCGAAGAGCATCATCCTCCGGCTCGGCCTCTCGATGAGGGCGTTTGGCAGGGGTTGTCCGCTCGGTGGCGATGGTCCTCTTCGTGGAGACCAACTTCTTCGCCCTCGCCACCGCGGCGACCATTTCAACCTTCCTCGACACGCGACCCCCTGAAATAGCAAAGTAATTAATAACAAGGACAAGTGATATAAAAAAAAACAGAGCGGAAAGACTATACCTTGGGCCGACTCCTTAGGTTGGGCCGAGGGCGCTAGTCTGGGACGGTCGCCGAAGATTTTGATCACCATGTCTTCGGCCGGGACGCCGAAGAAGTCACTGGTGTACTCCTCCCACCAGTCCTCGAAGGTGTCGGTTCCCAAAGATTCAGGAACCGTTGGCCGGAGCCGGAATTTCTTGCACTTCTCCTGAAACTCCTGCTCCGATGTCTTGCATTCCCTTTCAAAGGAACCTGAAAGACGCTCTCGACTCAGGAGAGACCGAGAGGCAAGCAGGGGGACGGGGCAGCCTTGAAGGTAGCCGAGCTGCCGGGCGACAAAATGGGGGTGATAGACCTCCTAGCTGGCTCGGCGGGCGTCACAACCAAGAGGAAGATCGCGAGCCAAAACGAAAGACCCCCAGCATTGACGGATGTCCGCATCCTCGGACTCGGCCCACGCGGGCGTAGGAAGCCTGATCGAGGCAGGGTACTCCTGGCGCCGGCATACCAGGAACTCGTCATCCGAAAGGACGTCGAGGCCGAGGAAGTGTTTAAAGACCTCGTCGGCTCGGTGAAGTGGTGCCGGTCGAGAGGCCAGTTGAAGGCCAAGGGCGGCCGATTGTTGAAAGGAAGGAACTTCCGACCGAAGGGTGGAAAAGTAAACCTGCAACCAGAGTTGGAACATCCAGAAGGGTCCATTCTGGTGCAGGTCAATCTTGCTAATAGTTGCCTCGACCAAGCAATAGTAGAGATTGGCGAGTATAGCCAGGCTGAACGTCAAGGAGCGACCACTAGCCAGTGCCTGGGCCACCAGCATGTTCTCGACCAGGCATTTGTTTGACCTGGTACAACAGATGAATTTGTTGTACCAGTAGAAGAGGAAGGCCTCGTGTTCTCCCTTCCTAAGGCCTTCCTCGCCTCGGCCGGCGAAGTGAAGGATGAGAGTGTTGTAGTTGAAGAAGTTCTTGTGGAGCTTCTGAACTTCTTCCCTTGAGGGCTCCCGATCACAACGGCTTAGCGTCTCGACGGCCCTTTCGTCGAATAATGCCTTCAGGTCGAGAGGAGAGGGGCATCCGGAAAGGGCGGCATCAATGGGAAGGCCGGTTGGAGAAGTCCCAAGGATGGCCGAAATGTCGAGGACTGTGGGGCCGAGAGGGCCGAAAGGCAGGATCATGGTGTTGGTGGCCAAACACCATAAACTTAGCGCCGCCATGAGCAACTCCTTATCCATGGCAATCTCCATGGTCGACAGAATAATGGCATCGTAGATACCAAGAGCCTTCCACTCCTTGCCAAAGAATGTGCTCATTCGGTCAACCCAGGTGGCCCAGGCTGTGGTGGTCGAGGGCCAGGCTCCCTGAGGCCGCGCCAGAGTCCATTTCGACCAGTCGAACCCCTACAGCAGGGGTATTAAACACTGCTCCTTGAGAAGAGTAGTGATAGACGACGGCACTGCGTCTCTGAAAAGGGGACCCAGAATCTGGTGGGTAGTGGCCATGTCATTTTCAAATCGCAGCGTCTTGACGGCGCTCCGATCAATGAAATCCTTACATTTGATGCACTCGTCAGAAAGCTTTGAGATAAAGGAGGCCAATGATGGAAGAAGGGATTTGGAGTTAAAAAGGAGGTTGCAGGAAGAAGAACTGGAAGGCTTTATTTGAACGAACAGGAATGATAAAATTGAGATTTTGGAATTTCTGAAGGCGTGAGATGCGAATGACAGAAGTGTGGGTATTTATAGGCTTTTCAGAATGAAGATCAAACGTCTGGAATTCAAAAAGCACTGGTTCAAATTGGGGGGAAATTTAACCCGGAAAGGTTCCAATCATTTCGGATATTTTGGGAACCTGCGAAGATAGGATCGAGGGGTCGAAAATCCAGGACGCACGATTGCGTGCGACGACGATTTTAATGCATTAATTAGGATAAGACGCTTCAGTAAGTGCACGATCTCGAGGGCCATGATTGAAAGCTTTTAAGAGCGGCGGAGAATCGACACGTAGCTGTACGTTAGGGGCAACGAGGAGAGTGCAATCCTGTCTCATAAATGTGCAGGAGTAATGGTCATTAAGGAAGCAAAGTCCAAAAAGCAATAGGCGTTTCCGCTTCTTCAAGGCCGAGGCCCGACCAAAAGTTAACAGTCGGCGACCTCAGAAGCGAGGGGGCAATGTTTGGGCCCAAAATATTATTGTTGGGCCGAGCAGCAGGATGTGCTCCGCCCAAGGTGATGACAAATACTATGGGCCGAATAATAAATCCCGGGCCAGTTGGCAGGGTCGGCCAAATCCTATCCTAAGTAGTCCGGATAAACAGAAAAGGTCGAGGAAGTCCTGGTGCAACCAGGATTCCCGACCAGCTAAGAATAAAGCCTCGAAAGGAAGGAAAATTCAGAATCCCAGTAGGAGTAGGTTTGTTCGAGTTAGAGTTGAAATGGGACAAGGACTCCCAATCCGAATCAGAATGCGAATTGGTCTCAAGGAATGGGGTGCTATAAATACAAGAAATCATGCAACAGAAAAGCCCCTTCAAAAATCAGCATACAATTGCCCTGCGCAAAACCTCTCAAACATCTTGAGATTTTTCCTTTTCTTTTTCTGCCGACACACCTTCAGTTTGGATAAACAGCATTGTGAAGGCACCCGGCGAGCATCTTCAGTTTGGATAAACAACACTGCTGCCACAGAATCAGCCGACCGAGAAGCACCTTCAGTTTGGATAAACAGCACTGCGTCGAGGTCGACCGGTTACCTATCTAAGTCTCGGCCGAGAAGGGTTTTCGAACCTTTGTTGGCAGAGGTCACCTTGCTAGCCTTCTCGGCATAGTCAGGTGTTACGAATTGCATTGCTCGGCGTACTGGACGCCGAGTGATTTTATGATTGGATACTCGCAAGTAAGTTTCAGGGTTCGGCATTCCGACGGCCGAACTACGTTTACCATCAAGACATACATCACATTCGAGTACCTGTGCCCATATAGTTTGGTCTCGATTCCGCGTGCTTATACTCTTACGAATATAATCACAGTGACCGAATCAGGCTCCAACGATTTGTGAACTCCGCAGAATTAGTAGCCTTGTCTTCAGGCTAGAGAACCCAGAGACGGAGAACGTTCCTTCCTCGGTCGCAATCGCAAGATGGAGAAGTCAACGACGCGCTCAACGCGACATCAACGAATTTTACTCCTCGGCCAAGCTCGGCCGACGAGTTGGCACGCCCCGCATTCAACCGAAGGACGTAGTTAGCTTGCTAGTTACTCGGCCTACGCGCCATGTAGGTTTTGTAATTTTTAGAGTCAACAGTAACACATTTAGATTCTTGGGTTCAAATTTTGGAAAAATAATCATTGATACATGAAAAAAATGTCGGAAAAATATGTTGAAAAGAAGATGAGTTGTTCATATTATTTGATTTGATAAAGTTTGGTAATACTCACTGGTCCACTTTGATGCTAGAGAGTGGTTGGCCATTTGGCTTGAACAGCAGAACATATGCGCTTCTGTGTAAATACAATACCAAAACAAAAAATGAACAAAAACTCTTTGAAAATTAACATCTCTTATTCCATACAATATATACAATATATATGAATAAATTGCTTACGGGTCTGACTTCAATATAACCCCACTCCTCTTCATCCATCTAGAATCCCAGCAGCTGCTACTGTTGTAGTTCCTGCAGCTGCTACTGCTATATTGAAATTGACTACCTTATATAGTTGATTTCACATTCTTACACACGACAAACCAAAAAACATCCAAAACATATCAATAATCTAAAAAAAGGCCAATTTAATACATATTCTCAAACAAGTGGTAAGCACTGATAACAGAAAAAATGAACAACCACTGTGAAAAATACACCCGAAGAGTTAGTGAAATTAGATATAGAACATGTAATCATTTATAAAACAACATGAATAAATAAAGGAAAACTTAACAACTCACCCTCACCGAAATCAATCAAACACTATAAATCTGCAATTAACAAAACAAACAGCAAAAATTCATAAAATCAAACATGCAAAAAAAATAAATAAATTAAAAAAATAAAATAAAATCAAACATGCAACAATATAAATCTATTAAACAGAAGTTAAGATAACATTAATGAATTTGACCTACTATTTTACTATATTCGATTTTTGGAATTTTGAGTGAATGAATGGCAAAAGAACATATAACAAAATAACAGAAGCGTACCCCATTAGAGGAAGCCGCCCAACCAACCGGCCAGAAACATCAGCAAAGGTACAGAGCCCCGTTGCACTGAAGAATCAGAAGACCAAATCACTATATGAGCAACCCATATGAGAGGTAGAGAGAAGCGGAAAAACAAAAGGAAAAAGTGAGGAGAGAATGCAATGAAAACAAAAGAAAAAGCATTAAGGCCTCTGAATAGAATAGTTCTCGATGATCAACACGTGGAAGACAGAGGCTGAAAAATCAGAGCAAAACCAAAAAATAAAACAATCAGCCTCTGAACAGAACCCCGCACAATGATCAACACGTGGAAGACAGAGGCCCAAAAAGCGGAGTATAACCAAAAATTAAAACAATCAGAGGCCAAGCAACAACATTTGTGGGACAGAGAGAGAAAAAATAATAATTAAAAAATTAATGGCGGGACAAACAAATTATTTAAAATATGGGAGTTAAATCAGGCCAAATGGTTTGTGGCACAGCAATCACTAAAAAATTATAAAAACCAAGAGAAAAGCACAGAAACAGAGAGAGTTACGAAAGTGTTGCAAATCATGCTATGATTAAATAGTAGTTTATTTGCCAATTTTATAATTTTTAAAACAAAATTAAATGGCGCTCTAAGACGGATCAGATTTATGTAAATTGGTAAACTTAGTTTTGATTATCTGGAGTAAAAATAATCATTTCCGTCTTTTCTCTTTAGAGGAATTAACTATTATCAATTTATATAGATACCTTCTTCTTCTAACTTATTGTGAATACATGGCTTATTATTTGTTTGTCTAGTGAAAGGTTTAAGGCCAATATTCAAAAGTATAAACAGACATCCTTTCACTAATGATAAATCCTGCCCATATTTTGTAAATCTGTGAAAGAACATATTAGATTAAAATATGTGGAGTGGGTATATCTCTAGTGCAAATGTCTACTTTTATACTTTTATCTCTAGTGAAAAGAAGCTAGTTTATATATATATATATATATATATATATATATTAGTAATAGCTAATTCGCCTAAAGAGAAAGCCTAGTAAAAATTGTAATTAAATGTAGAACGTCAATAAAACAAAGTTAACAAAGTACTAATTAATTTTACATACCTTTGAATATTTGTGTCTTCATTGCTTGAAAATGTATTTGTCAACGTTGTAAATCCCTTGCTGAATTAGCTTTTTTTTTTTCCTAAAATTGTAAAACAAAGTGTTAAAAAAAGATTGTATGGCACTTAATAAATAATATATAATAATTAGTTGAGATGGAATAATATATAATAATTAGTTGAGATGGATGGAAAAATGGAGTCATACATAGGATGAAACAGCAAAAACTAAATTTGAATATAGGAAATAAAAAAACAATTTGTAATTCATTATCATGCATTGTTATCTATTTTATGCTAAACATAAAAGATAATGTCTATTAGTAAGAGTGAAGCTAGTGTTTTGGAATGGGTGTTCTAGACGCTAAAGAATTGAGAAACTGAGATTAAGAGCAATTCTGATGACGGAATTGAGAATTAATAGGTATGTAATTAAAAAGTTATCTTATTGCTAAGTTTGAATTTGACTAATGATAGGTATATATAATGAAATTTTTTTGCCACAAAATGAAATCTGAACAGAACGCATGTAGTCAAGTGGGAAGCAATGTTAATTTGAAACAAAAAAAAAGAATTCAAATAAAGATGAAATGCCAATTAAAACTTAAATGGAAAAAGGATGAAATAATGCCTCAACATATTATAAATGTTTCTCTAAAACTTAATTGAGAAGATAAAAACAGTGACCCACTTTTTGTTAACTAACATCTCTGCAACAGTTTTAGCATAAAAAAATTTGCCTTGCTGGCTAAATTTTTCAGCTAATCAAATTGCTAAGAAGCATATATATAGCCAATAAATAAGATAAATTGGATATTTCATGTATACTTAATATATTAGAGTATAAAACTTAGACCAAATGAGCGACCTTTAGGCACTTAATCACATCAGGACATTATTTTAACAAAAACAGAAAAATATTGCATGAAATATTTTTTTCTGCGGAAAAAAATAAGGAAACAGGGGAAAGCAAAAGCATTTCCCCCTATACATACTTGCTAAAAGTTACCATAGGAAACCACAACATATAAAAAAATTTACAACATATTGATAAAAAAGACCATGTGTCAATACACTTTAGCTAACCATTTTCTGGGCATAAACAGAACCACCACTGACTAAATAATAATGTTCTGCAAAACTAACATAATACTACAACCGTAGAATAAGAATAAGTCACAAAAATACATGACAATAACAGAAAGTAGAAAACAAAGAAAATTGAAAGGAAACCAAATAATCTCAACTAATTGAACACCTAATTTCTGTAAATCCAAAACTAATAGCTCCTTATACATAGTTGCCAACTTATTACAATAAACCACAGCAATGCATAAAAAGCTTTACAACACGTTCTAATTAAAATCTAAGGAAAAAAAATGTTAAGTTTTGTCCATTTTAAAATCGAAGAAACAAAACCCACAGATTTAAATAACCATGTGCATCTTACCCTCAAATGTTTCATAAGCACAAAAACTATCTAAGATGTTTTTCTCCCTTTGCAAATGCAACCTACAAAACAAATCAAGCAAAAAATTAAAAAAAATAAAAAACGAAAGGGTAATTAACAAAGCTCAAAAACCCTAGCACAAAAATGTCATAAACAGGATAAAAATGGCCAGCAAGTCTAACTACGACAGATAACAGTGTAAATGTTACTAATATAACTTGTCACACATAATAAACAACACTATTAAACTGGAATATTAATCCAGCAGATTTATATACCATTATAAATGATATCAAAATGAGCTGCAATACAAAGCAGTGAAGATTTATACCCACCAGATCCTTCTCACAGTCCAAAATCCAAATAAAGACTTCAAATCCATAAAATTACAATGAAATTAATACCATAATGTACCAAACAACTGTAAAAAATAAAATGCACCAAAGGCAAACATGAATTCAACAGGCCAAATAAGCAAAAAGATTCATACCTCAATTGAATTTTGAACTTGATTCTCTCGCCAAAAAATCTTAATCTACAAAACCAAATTAGTTTTATTAATAATAAAGTAACACGATAATGCATCAAACAACATTAAAAAATAAAATCTAGTAAAGGTAAAGATAAATTCAACAATCTAAATAAGCGCAAGCATTGATATCTGAACTGAATTTGCAGGTTAATTTTGTCGTTTAAAAATTCTGATCTACAAAACCAAATTAGTTCTATATTAACACCGATAAGTTAAGAATTGATATGAAAAACAAATCTATAATTGAGGCCTTAAAATATATTATAAGATCAATTAATACAAAGAAAGAATCAATACCACACTCACAACCTTATATTTTCACCAGTACATATGCATATTGCTCCAGGTTGTTAAATCAGATCTTAAAGACCATGTTCCTAACACCAGAACTAACGACTTGAGATTCATATGAATTATAGCCAAGCCAAACCAAACCATTTAGGTTGTCAATAATGCCCAAATAAGCAGTTTAGCTTGGTTTCTTGAGAAGATCAGGTTAGTCAGGTTGCTGAAGAAACAACTACACACCAATTCTCAAACTGCACAGCTACTAAATTACAATAGTATTGTATCGATGACTGAAAATGATCTCTAGAGCATCTAGGTACCCAGGCTTTCAATTAAAAAACTTATCCAATTGAATTCAATTAAAAAAAATGATCTCTCAGATGAGTTATGACAGAAAACATACCAAAGGCAGTGGAAGCAGTACGTCGATGTCAGACATGAAACTTAGCTGATTCAACTAAGCGGGCCTGCTAACCAGAATGCTCAGACCTGGATCATATTTAAAAAGAAACCCATAAATCATCATGATCTCAATTAAATATAATCAAGATAAGAACAACATAACAGCCACAGATCACATAATCGAAAAGAAATTTCGCAAGTCATCCACAATAATCAAAAGCTAAATTAAACCCAAAAATTAATCATGATCATCCATTTGTATTGCTGGAAATGTTTAGCCCTTAATTAAAACACCAAAATAAAAAATTCCTCACTCACAGTACAAAACCGAAACATACAAAGCAAAACCCAAAAATTAATCATCATTATTCCTCTTTTTTTTTCATTTTTTTTTTTTATTTTGAGGGAAAAATCGAAGCACAAACAATCAAAAAACCCAAATAAAAAAAAAAAAACAACAAAGAGATAAATTATATACTTGACCCAGAAAAAGCTAGGAAGAATAAAACCCTAAAACTCAAAGAAAAATGTTTCCTGCAACCAAAATACAAAATTAGAGATAACAACAAGACGTAGAGCGCGAAAAAACAAAGAAAACGCTGGGCCAAAAAGCCAAATAGCCCAAATTCACAACAATCAATCATAAAATTCTCTTCCTAACCAAACAGAAAATAAACCAACACATGAATCAACATACCTGAACGGGAGCGATTCATTTGTGCAAAACAGGGGAAAAAACGCCAAACACCTTCGAGAAGATCCGATCGGAACCGAAATCAAAAGACAGACGGGAAAACTAAAGAGAAACGGAACGACAGAAAGAAAACAGAAGAGGAAAAGAAAAAGTCGAAGATGCTTCCGGCATCTTTACTATAAAACACAACGTGGCCAAAGCTCAACCAAAAACACCAAAAAGCACCTTTCAAATGAGAGCAACAGCTGCAAACAAAAATGAAAGAGGGGCAAAATAGACAATTTACTGCACAATCCCACCAAAGTCCAAAAACCATAAATAAAATAAGGGATAAAACCGGATGGGCACTGTTAATGAACAGTACCCATCCGTTGAGCTTTAGTATATATAAAATAAAATGTTGAGGTTCTATCCCAAACCAATTAGAAATGAGAAGTTTCTTGAAAGTCGTTGCAAGGTTTATTAAATCTCCGATGTAGGACTCTCCCTTTCACATCCACACAAGCGAAAATTAGAATATTATTTGGCCACTAAGTACATGAGCTTTCCATAGATGTGTTTGTTGACGAATATTTAGATTGTTCTTGATTTACGGTGATTCAATTAATTAGCTGACTTGTGGCTAATATTATTGAGATATATATGATATGTATATCTTACATGTGGTATCAGAACTGATAAAATTTAGACCACTGAAATCATAAATCTTGTTCAAGATCAAATTTCCATCTAAATTCCAAGCTTTTGTCGAACCCAGAAAGAATTAAAGGAAAGACACCGTTTACAACTCAAAACGACACCGTTTAAAAAAAAAAAAAAAAAAAAAAAGGGGGGGGGGGGGGTGCGAAAGAGACGTCAGTGGTTTTTTAAATTTTTTACTGTTATTTTCTGGGTTTTTGGTTTCTTTTCTTTCTTGCTTTTGCTAAAAGTTGTGACGATTGAGAAGTTTTGTTTCTTCTTTCTCTTGACCACGACAATCCTCATTAACATTCAAACAAGAATATGCAAGTGCTGAAGGTACGTTTTGCTTTCTAATTCTTCAAAACTTTGGTTAAATAATTAGTTGTAGATTAGGAATTTTGGAATTTGACAGCAACATTGAGATGATTTAATTTGTTTGTAGATAACATCTGCAATTGAATATTGCTGAATCCAAATCGTTATTTTCTAACAAATATTGAACTTAAGTTGTAAATATAAATTGCTTCCATTGCTATAAATTAGTGTATGTTGTTGGTTTCATTGATACTTTCTGCAGAAATTGGATACATGTAATGAATGGCCTAAGAAATTCTTTCTCTTGGACATGGATCGGATCTGTGTTTGTAATTCCTTGTGAATTGTTTATTCTGTAAGTGCCTGATCTAAACATGTTCAGTGACTATATATATGATTAAATTGATTCACATTCAGAATTAAAAGTGTTGGAATTGATAGAAATCAAGAATCTTGTTAGATTCAAAGTCTTGATTTCATTGCTGTCATTCTGCATTTTCACTTAAAACCATCAACTTGGCTGCTGTGCTTGTACTCAATGGTGGAAGCAATTATAGAAAGTGGAGGAGAGAAATTGAGTTGCTTTTGATACTAAATAAGTATGACATAGCACATCAGCTCTTACTGGCAAAAGTACCAAAGCTGAAAAGGTGGAGTTTGAATGAAGGGCTAGAGCAAACAAAGTTGCACTTTCAATATTGGAAAGTGGCATGACTGACACTGTGTGTGGGGGTATTAAGAAATGTGATCTTGCAAAAGATTATCTCATAGCAATTGGGAACAAGTTCAAGGAACTTCAAAATGTTGAAATAGCTTAGTACATGACTCTTCTCACCACTTACAAGTTTGAAGGAGGAGGATCAATCATAGATCATATAATGAAGATGACTAATGCAGCTGAGAAACTAAATTCATTAGATATGAAGTTTTGTGAAAAGCAGCTTGTATTCATGATACTGCAAGCATTGCCCTTGAAGTTCAGTCAACTAAAGGTCCCTTACAATACTCAAGGTAAAACGTGGATGGTGGATAAACTTATAGCTCAATGCGTGCAAGAAGAAAACCGACAAAACCAGGACAAAGGCAAAGAAGCTTATCAATTTGTGCAATCAACCAAAGGAAAGAAGGAGTTTAAAGCAAATTCGGGTAAAACTTCTAAATCCAACTTCTCTGATAAGTCTATTATATCTGCTAAAAGTTCCAGTTCCTGTAAGTCTAACAATTTTAAGAAGAAGGCTAAGAATATTGATAAAATTAGATGTCATCACTGCAAAACCAAAGGACACTGTAGAAAAATTGTGAAATATTCAAGGGTTGCTTGAGGTCAAAGGGTAGAACTGATGTTTATATCTGTGAAGAATCGAATCTCATTGAAATTCCCGCAAACTCTTGGTGGTTTGATACTGGTGCATCTGTCCATTTAATTAATTCATTGCAAGGTTTTAAGAAACAAAAACAAACAAATTGTTATAATGTTTTTGTGGGTGAGGGAACCAAGGTTTCAGTTGAAGCTGTTGGCACTGTTAGACTCAAATTTGCAACTAATTTTGTGTTACAATTGGATTATGTTCTTTATGTGCCCTCAATGAGGAGAAATTTGCTTTCTGCTGGTTAGTGTTTCCGCGAGTACATGAGCATTCCATAGATGCGTTTGTTCACTAATATTTAGATTGTTCTTGATTTATGGTGATTCAATTGGCTTACTTGTGGTTAATTTTATTGAGATATATATGTTTATATGTATATCTTACAAATAATAGTATTGCAATTTTAATAGCAGTGAAGTATTGGTAAACCAAGGTGTAATCGAAGTGGAGCTTATAAGTGTAGGTTTCACGTACCCTTGTTTAGTATTCCCACTTCTAGATGATTTGATGCTAGAACTTGAGCAATGATGATTACTAAAATGTACGTATTTTATTTTAATTTTATTTTTTGAAAACTTTGACGGTACAGGAAGAATTTTATTGATATAAAAAAATAAGGTACACCTCATAATACCACAAAAAAGGAACATGAAAAAGAAGAGGAGATATAAACTTAACCCTTATAATACAACAAAAAAGGAACAGGAAAAAGAAGGGTGGGCATAAACCTTACCCCTCTAGAAACAAAAATAACAAAGATACAAAGAAAAAGAGGGAGGGGGGGGGGGGGACATGAAACCTAACCCCTCTAAAGCCGAACCTAAAGGTCTAAACCTGCAAAACCAACCAGCAACATGACAAGGTTAAGAGAAAAAAATTAAGAATGTAAGACCAACCAATATGCTGAGATGCATATTAAGTGGAGAAGAGGAAGCCAGGAATGCCAGCATAGTCTGAAAACAAAGCAGCATGAATCGTCAACGGAGGGGTATCATGCTATACTAAAGTTCGAAAAAAATATGGGCTTTTTAGCCAAAATGGTCCCTGAGATTTGCATAACACATCACTTTGGTTCTTGAGATTGAAAATCAATAGAAATGGTCCCTGAGATTGTCCACCATCCATTATTTTGGTCCTTCTGTTAAGTGGTCATGGAGCTCATACCAGAAACTGAGATTTTTGGCCGGAAGTTTGGGCAATTTTCAAAGCTTCATAACTCAATCGTTTCTTAACCAAATTCGACCCATAATATATCAAAACGAAGATAGGAAAGTGTTGAAAAAGATTATACCTATTTGGAAGCCCAATGATTGCCGAAGATGGTCGGAAAATAGCCTGAAAGGTGACTGGTTCGTAGGAAAATTGGAAACCTCGTTGAAAACTCTGTAAATTTTAATCGTTCATAACTTTTTCAATACTCAACGAAATTGAGTGATTCAATAACAAAAATCATACTTTACGTTGAGATAAAGAGAATGGTACTTTTTCAATGGCTAAATTGCCATGGTTTGGCCGAAAAACGGCTCGAAATTGGCTAACTCGATGAGATTAAGACAGCCAATTTCGAACCTTTTTTTGGCCAAACCATAGCAAGTTAGCCATGAAGAAAGGTATTATTCTCTTCATCTCGTTGAGAAATATGATTTTCAGTTTTGAATCACTCAATTTTGTATGAAGAAGTTATGAACGTTTAAAATTTACCCAGTTTTCAGCGAGTTTTCTAGCTTTCCGGCAGACCAGTCACCTTTCAGGCTATTTTCTGACCAAAAGGCAGTGAGTTAACCTTTCGAGAAAGGTATCGTTCTCTTTGTCTCGTTGAGAAGTATGATTTTCGTTGTTGAATCACTCGATTTTGTTGAGTATTGAAGAAGTTATGAAAGTTTAAAGTTTACCCAGTTTCTGGCCAGTTTTCTAGTTTTCCCGCGGACCAGTTACCCTTCAGGCTATTTTTTAGCCATCTATTTCATTATAAACATTTAACGTTTACCCAAAACATCAAAAGAGCCAAGGCCTATCTAAGGGAGGAAATAAAGCCCCGAAGCGCCCTAACCTCGCTCCTAGGTCCCGAAACTTCAAGAAGAAGGGCAAAGCACCTAAAATAATGGATGCGAATATGTGCTATCGCTGTGGTTCAAAGAACCATTGGTCCCGTGTTTGTCGAGCTCCGCAGAAGGTTGTAGCTAAATATCATTCTTGTCGTAAGAAGTTTGAATCAAACTTTATTCAATTGGACGAACCGGAGAATTCGAAGATGGAGGTTTCTGACTTTCAAGAGGCTATCACACCTATGGAAGATTAGAATCTTAGACATAAAGTATTTTTTTTAGTTGAAATAAGACCATGAGGCCGAATTCCACAGTAGTGGCCGAACCCCCTTATGTTTTTTGGTTAATTTTGAACAATTTTCCTTTATGTTTGGATTATTTGTTAATGATTTGTTTTTTGGATATTCAGTTTTTAATTAATTTCCATTCTTGAATACTTCAAATTATTTTGAATGGATATTTGTTTTTAAGAACTTTTATGCATGTGCCCGAATCAAATTAATTTTCATTCTAGGAATGACTAGTGGGGAAGTTAGTTGTCTGGCCGATAGTACAACTACGCAAACTGTTTTGAGTGAACACATCTATTTCACTAACTTCATACCTAAGAATGCACCTTTGAATATCCTGTCAGGCCCATCCAACCTGATCGAAGGATACGATAAGGCACGTATAATGTTATCCAATGGTACAATCTTAACCATTGATGAGGCACTTTATTCTCCACGTTTCGAAAGAACGTTGTTGAGCTTTTAGGGACATTAGAGATAAGAATTATCATGCTGAAACCCACATAGAAAATGGAGTTGAATTTATATGCATAACTTCCTACGAATATGGCCAGAAGCATATTCTAGAAAAGATGGAGCATATCCCGAGTGGTTT